AAAGACCCCAAACGCGCCCGCCGCAACCGCATTGTTCCTTTCCAGCGGCAAGGCCCACCATCATCAGGGGCGAATGCAGAGGCGAGCGGGTTTGCAGGCACAGAATTAAGGACTCAAGTATTCAGTAGAAAACAGTAAGAAAAGAGGAGGTCGCAAACACCACGATTGCATTCGTCCAGAAGCAGCGCTGTCATTTTAGAACAAATAAGGAATAATGAAACAGAGTTTTAGGATGTCGCCATCTTTCATGATGGAATTAAGGCGAGCATACCGGTTAAGAAAAAGAGGGGGAAAATGACCACCGATAGCTAAATGATGAAGAGGTATTACAGCACGACGAACGGAACGACAAGTATACAACAAGGACTCTTCCCAAAACTCTGTGCGGCCTCTCCTGGGCAACAATTTTCAGCCCTCGATCCATTCAAAAAATCCAAAACAGCAAGTTTCCCTGCATGGCAGATGGGTGGCAGAAGAAAGAGGGAAAGCCAAGGAGAACCGATGTGGTCAGCTGCTGTGTAAACCGGTGAGCCACGCGAAGGGAGAGATAAGGAAAGGGAATATGAACGTGATTACCAGGGAGAGCATAGCGGAAACCGAATTGGCCCCGGAGGGGAGCTCACGCGACACGCCACAATCACTTCACATCAGGCTTAGCAACAGCAACCAAAAACCTAATATTTATGCATGTGGTCAAATCGTTTATCGCGCGTCTTTGATTTCTTTTCATGACTGTATTTATTCACTCTCTTTTTTTTTTCCTCCCGCTTTCCTCCTCATACTTGGGGTGTCTTTAAGCTTCACTACGGCGAGTCTACACTTACATATCAAACAATTGCCTCCGTTAAACAAACCTCACAACACAAATGCCGAATCTTTGCGTCTCGTGCACGTTCAACCCTCCTACCATTACGGTGCTGGGCTCGACGATTCGTGAAGACACAGTCCGTGCAATGGAGGCGCAGATTCCTCTTGCGACGTCTACCGCGGTGAACCCCAGCAAAGACCCCGCCAAATTTGTGTTTTTCTCCAGCCCCGACCACTGGCGCATGGAGCTCCAGCAACACTTTTGTGATGAACTTCACAAGTCTTCTATTTTCATGGCCATTATCCAGGCTTTGGAAGAAGAGGGCTGGCGGCTCCGTGCGTCGAACAGCGTCACGCATACCGAAAATGATCGTGACACCACAAAACTCTTTTTCGCCCGCGCATAGGATGTAATGTGTGCTTTTGGTGCACCTGATGTTTTACAAATCTTTTTTTTCCCTACTTGACGAAAGGTTTTAACAACGCATTCACTGATGTAAGTAGATTTCCTTTTTACCGACAAACGCAAGAATTCTCGAGTTTTAAAAATATATATATATATACCTGTATGCGAACTGGAAAAGAAGCAACTCTGCGTGTTGCAAACATTGGATGTGTGCACGACCAAAAAAAAAGAAAAAAAAGTCGCGGAATCTGCCGCGCTTTGAGGTTATCTTGTGATGTTTCAACAATGATCCGTTGTGTGTGGGTATTAATGGTGGTGGAACAGTGACATTACTGCCGCTTGATCCAGTCTTCAGAATTTGCAGCTTTTTGTCTTACAACGGCTTCTATGGGATCACAGGAAAGGAACACTGTGTTGTTACTGACGGCATTTCAGTTTTTCTTCCACTTCTGCATGGAGCAGTGCAGTGTCGTGAATTACAGTGGTTTTCTTCCCATCGTTCTCCTCGATCCCATTCTCCTATCTAATCGACTCTTTTAAATCGATGTTGAACACATCAAAACTTCTGGAACAAATTGAACTGGAAATCAGTTTCTTTTTTTTGTTGTTGTTGAAGATGCCCGCCACCGTTAAGCGCCCGCTCTGGAGCCTGCTGCTTCCCCAGACGTACACGAGCCGTCTGCACGCCTTTTCGTTCCATGCCCCGACTTTTATCTTCTTGGCGGCAGTGTGCGCCATCATATCGAAGCAGTCGTATTACCGCTCTAACCTCGCCGACGAGGATGTCAAGACGTTCGACAGAATTGACCGTCGCGCCTACGTTGCGCTCCCCGATGGGCGTATGGCGCTGGTGTATCCCATAATCGATACCCAGACCAGTTTCTCGCGCACCGTCATCTCCTTCTTAGACGCAGTCAACCCGCTCCCGTAAGATTAGGTTGCGGTAGCTTGAAAGTATTCCGTTGAGTATTCCCGCATCAGCCTTCGACTATGACTTAGTATAATTATTTAGTACTCTCTCACTGCACTTTAGTGGGAGTATTAGGAAATCTGTGCGCTTCTCCAGTCTAGAAGCGTGGCTTTTTTTTTCTCCGGTAGAAGTACAAGTTGAAAGCTGCAGCACTGGATTTGTGCACGATCGTTCAACAGAATATTCTTACTCTTTTCTCTGCAAACGTACGTTTTCTTAACCGACTTCTTACTGGTCTCCACAACAATTTACTGATATGAAAAGAGAGCGAACATATGTGTAACATGACTGCGATTGACTGGGAACAGCTTTTATCGAAGTGATGTAGAAAACTGCGTTCACATTTTTCCTGCGACATACTGTTCCGCCTGCACGTGAGCCTCTGAGTTTATGCTTTTGTGCGGGAGCTTTGCCGTCCTCACTCGTGTTCTAGCTGCGTGGCAAAATGAAGTGAACGCATTAGTTTTCCGTTTGAAATGCTGACCCGTAGCATTATTTCTTTTGTCTTCCCGAAATGTATGACTACCTATTTCTCACCATATGGTTTTGCATTCCATCTCTCCTTCATTAACTGCCTTTAGGAAACCAACTACGAAACCAGAATATATCCTCTGCTGTATGGACCTTTCCTCCATCACATAACAATTAATACACATATTTTTAAATCTGCATTATGTTTTCCCTTTAGAAAGACTGTATCTCTATTATTGTAGGCCTTTTCCTCTCCCGTAGAACTTCTGCGCCCTATGCGAGGCGACAGGTGGTGATCGTCGCACGATAAAGAGCACCAACAGCAAGAAAAACATCGCACACCTATTCAAATTGACTGCTTGGATGTGTATTGACCGGTGCTTTTTCCCTCATTTTTCTTTTTCTAACCTGCTTTACCTCGTCAAGATTTGTGTACTCCGTTGCCCATATTGACGGCGTACTACAATCTAATTCACTGTCTTGCATCATTGACTCTTTTCCCTTTTTTATTTCGTACAGATGAACGTCACAATCGACGAAGTATTAAATGTGGATGTCGTTGACTTTCAGGCGTTGACCCGTTGCTGCCGACGTGGCCTGCACGAAAATGCCCGTCCGGACTGCTGGAAAATAATAATGGGCTTTTATCCTCCTTCTACTCGGCAATGGGCGAGAATCGAGGCAGCTCGCTTGCAGGAGTACACCGACGTGCTGAGCGCATGTGGGCTCGATTTGGAGTCATCGGCGAGCTTAAAAGACGAGATAACCCGTGCCGTGGACGTCGATGTGCCACGCACAATGCCTTCTCTCAACTTCTTTCTTGGTGAAAGCGATGAACTGTCTGCCGCGCGACGAGAAAGAGAGGGCGATGCTCTGGGGTTTACCCCAGCTCAGGAAGCGCTTCGTAGAATACTGATTACTAGCGCCAATGTGAATAAGGCACTGGGCTATGTGCAAGGGATGAATGAATATGTGGCACATCTGCTTTATGCGTTCGCGAAGGGAAACTCGTGTAATGTGACATCGTCTGTCGAAGCAGACGCATTTTTCTGTTTTCAGACTCTACTGTCGCACCTCGGCGACGATTTCAGTCGTTCCTTTGACTTTGACGCTACATGTGGGTTGACCAGCACAATGCGACTGTTTGACAACGTACTACGGTTTTTCGATCCACAGCTGTTCCACTTTATGGAGTCTCTCGGTATTAGCGCGGAGCACTATGCGCTGCGTTGGATCATGCTTCTCTTCACCCAAGAATTCAATATCGCGGATGCCCTGCGGGTGTGGGATTTTCTTCTCTCTTTTGGCGACCAGATTCGAAACGCTGCATTTTTTGTGGCGGCTTCCATGTGCTATCATTTACGTTCGTCCATTTTGTCAGCGGAGACGATGGGCGATGTCATTCCTCTCTTGCATGAGTATCCTTCTGGGGACGTGAATGAGTTTCTACGCGTAGCTCTGCGATGGATCGCCAGATTCGACTTCGATTTGATTGAGAAGCTGAAGCAAGCGACGCCGGAAGAGGTGCAAGGTTTACGACGCTTTTATGGGCTTGAGGTCGACAAAAGTTTTGCTCAAATTATGCAAGGTTGGATCTCTTCCGTTTTTTGACGTTGTCGGCATAGTGTAAATGTTTTCCTTTCCTCTTCGTTTTATCGGCTTTACTTTGTGTACCGTACGTTGCCCACTGCTTACGAAAAGCATCTTTAAAAAATCGGTAGTGTAAGAAGAATAATCGGGTTGCTCCTTCTTTTTTTTTTCCGCTCAACTTGTTGATCAGCGCTTTCGAAGGTTGAAACCTACACAGAGAAACACATCTGTGGCACTTCTTCTTTGCATTTAAGGGCGAGCATACAGAAGTTAAATTATCGTTTATTGAAAATTACAACTTCTCTTTCGTATGTTATGGTAGTCAAGATGGATCTGTCAAACGAATTATTTACGCTACTGCGGACTCAAATGTATTTTCTCCCTTTCTCTCTTGCAACTCCTGTCAAACCAACAACAATAGCAATAACAACAAAGATACTCTTCAGCCGTGTTTCAAATCAGTCTGTTCAAATAGTATTGCCACAGGTAGTGGCCAAACGAACGTTTTTCGTTTGTGGGCGTGTCACTCAGTTGTGATTCTCCTACGCGACACATATCAAAGCCACACTTATTATTTTCTTGTTTCTTTTTTTTTTCTTCGAAGTTGTACTCGGAAGCTATTTTTGTTTTCTCAAAGAAAGTCAACGCTTTAGAGCGTGCAACACCGCAAAGTCAGCGTGATGTCATCGTTGCAAAATGCGCCGAGTCTGAGTCCGACGACGAGGAAAGGCTTTTCGTACAGCGTTGTGGAGGACGATGACGACTATATCGGTCCTGTCGAGACAGTGAAGGAGATGCAGCCGCCCCCACGCTCTACCAGTAAACCCAAGAAAAGGACAAAAGACCGCAGCGCAAAAGAAGCAAAGAAGAAGAAAGACCCTGTCCCATCTTCCGGCGACGATGAGCCGGTGTACATCTCGTCATCGGTGAAGGAGAGCTCCGGTACCAGGAAAGAGGCTCTGGATCCCAACACCACTGAGGAGGGCTACGCTGATGATTTTGAGGATTCAGTGGATAGCGCAGACTCCATTCCTCCGGTAGAGTCTCCCCTGCCGGCGCGAGCTCTCCCACCGGCGCCTACAAGCTCAAAAGCGCTCATGGCCGATGTCGTGGCGGAGGAGAAGCGGCTGTATGCAACCGTGGAAGAGCAGCTACGACTGGAAAAGGAAGAAGTTGCTAGCAGGATTGCAAAGTGGGAAGCGGATCAGGCTCAGCGCGCAAACGAAATGCGTCGTCGCGAAGAGGAGTTGAAGCGGCAATTGTTATCGCAGCAGCAGCGGGAGGAGGAGATGAAGCAGAGACTCAGCGCACTGGTCGAAGAGAAAGTTTCAGAGAGGGTGGCGGCAGCAGCCGTAGCAAGGGAGGCAGCCGCGCCGAAACCTGCGAAACGAGTAGATCCAGTGACCGCGGAGGGCGAAGAGGAGGAAGTGTTGGACGACGGCGTTGCGGCTGCGGCGGAAGGCGCGGGTGTTGCAAAAACGGAGCTACAACGCCGACGCCGTCGCGAGCACGAGCGTGCCATCGGTTTGCGCCGCGCCGAAGAGGAAGAGGCGGCACACTCCCTCTTCCAACGTCTTGCACAGGACGTCCGCGAAGTGTTTCACGAGCTGAACCTATCTGTCGTCGCGGCAGAGAAGGAGCGTCTCATCAAGGATGAGCGGTACCGGCGCGAGCGCGAGCTTAAAGACCGCCGCGAAGAGATGTCGCGAGCGGAGAAGCTGGAGAAGGAACTCAAGGAAAGGGAAGAGCGCGAGGCGAAGTATTGGGTCACGGCGGAGCAGCGCGATGAGAAGTTCCGCGCTGTTCTCGAAGAACGGCTGAACAAAGACGAGGAGGAGCGCGAGGCCCGGCTAAAGCGAGACCTCGAAGACCGCGCGACGCGGTTGCGCAACGAGCGGGAGCTTCGAGACGAGATGGACAAAATGGAGAAGGAGCGACGATCCAACGCGGAGGCTGAGACACGCAGACACGACAACGTGATTCTTGAAGCACAGCTAGGGGAGATGAAGGCGCAGTATCGCGCTCAGATCGAGGAGGTGCGGCGGCAGATGGAGGCCGACAGTGCCCGCAAGGAGGAGCTGCAGAAGGCCGAGCTGGCAATGATGGCGAAGCGTCACGAAGCGGCACTGGACCAGCTGCAGCACCAGTACGCCCATCAACTCGCGGCACTCGAGGCGCACACCGGCAACACTAGCCGCATCGAAGCGTTGGTGGAGAGCATGCAGGAGCAAATGGAGGCCACCAAGGCGATGAACGAAAGGCTCATGACGGAGCGTCTCGCCACTTTGCAGCAGAAAGAGCGTCAGCTAGAGGACCAGCGCGCCGTCTTGGATGCCATGACAGCCGACTCCAAAACTACCCAAGAAACCTTAGCGTCGGAGCGGGCACGAGTGGCTGGGCTGTACGCCAAGTTTGAGCTCGCCTTGGCGGCCTTCAGCAAGAACAGCGAGGAGGACCGCCGCACACTCCGCGAAGCACAGGCGCACTACGATACACTCCGCCAGCAGGCCGAGAAGGACCGCCGACTCATGCTGAACGAAGTCGCGCAAGAGCGAAAGATGCTCGAGCAGCAGTTCGAGGAGTTTCTCGCCAAGAAGATGGAAGCCATGGCTGAGCTTCAGGCGGAGCGCGTCGCCATCGCGCGTGAGCGGTCAGAGGCGTCGATGGTGCGCGAGCGGCAGAACCGCGACGAGACAGATTTGCTGAAAGCGCTGCACTCACGCGAGGAGGAGTACAAGAGAAAGTTGGAGTCCATCGAATCCGATCGGGAGGCGGCGCTTCACATGAAGGAAGAGCACAATCGGCTCCACTCCGCTGCCGTTGCTGAGCGTCAAGCACTTCAGCAGGAGCGGGAGAAATTCGAGCTAGAAAAGCGGGAGCTGCTGGGTCGTTTTGAGACGATCCGCAAACGAGCGGAAGACGCCGCCGCTTCTCAGGAGCGGCTTCAAACACGCTTCTTGGGTGAGCGCGCCGAAGGCTACGACGATGCACTGGTGGCCGGTGCATTAAGGGGAGAACCGCTGGTGTGCAGCGCAGCTTCGCGCCTCCAAATGGATCTGGCCCGGCAGCGTGCCGTCCTGCAGAACATCAGTTAGTCTGGCACGCTGCTTTTTGTGCTTTCGCTCGGTGGAGCTCCCCGCTCAAGAAACGCCCTTTTCTGCACCAGAAGGACGTGGAAGGCTTGGTGGGCGGCTTAATTTTCTCCCCTCTTCTTTGCGCGCTGGGTTTAGAACAATTTTTCATATATTCGAACCAATAATAACAACGTATAGATGAGCGTACCTACGCAACAATAGATTTGATAGATTGCTGCTACCTCTTTCGTATGTTAATCAGGAGAGGCAGCACGTATCAACTAGTACATTTTCTTGTCATTTCGCCTTTTCTTTCCTTGCTCTCAAGTCAGACACTCTGGTAGTCGTGACACAATGCGGTGCGCTTCTAGACAGTCTACCCCCGTCGCAGTGAAACAGCTGAAAGCGAATAAAACTGTTACTTTCCTTCACGAAGCGAACGACACAGCTACGTAGTGGCAAGCAGTCAAAGCTGCCCCTGTAGTTGTGTTTCGGTGACGGCGAATAAGGCAGAGTGCACATCGGCGCATGATGAAACGTTTACTTCCGCACGCGTTTGTTGAGACCAGCCAGGTGAGTGTGAACGCTTTTTTCTACCGTTCTCACAGCCGGTGTCGCGCCAAATTTCAACGGTTTAAGCGTTTCATTTCTTCCCTGATGCTCTTGTTTGTCACTCAGCTCCCCTCCAATGCACATCTGTGAATGTTCTTCTCGACTCTCCACGAACTTGCCTTCAGCTCATCATGTTCTCTGTATCCCGCCGTTTTTCAAGCGGCAAGTCGATCGAGTTTGGCGGCAATGCGCGCCAGCTGATGCTCTCCGGCATTGAGCGGATTGCCACTGCTGTCGGCGTAACGTTGGGGCCAAAGGGCCGCAACGTCATCATTCGCCAACCGAACGGGGAGCCGAAGATCACAAAGGACGGTGTGACGGTGGCGCGCTCCATTGAGTTCCACGACCAGTTCGAGGACGTCGGCGCTAAGCTCATTCGGCAGGTGGCGAGCAAGACCAACGACGTGGCGGGCGACGGCACCACCACAGCCACCATCCTCGCTTGGAGCATCTTTGCCGAGGGCTACAAAAGCGTGGCGACGGGTGCCAACCCGATGGACCTGAAGCGCGGCATCGACGCCGCCGTCTCCATCATCCTCGAAGACCTGGCGGAGCAGACCCGTCCGGTGCGAGACCTGCCGATGTTGGAGAACGTGGCGACGATTAGCGCGAACGGCGAGCGGCCTCTGGGCACCTTGATCGCCCAGGCCGTGCAGTCCGTCGGCGTGGACGGCTTCATCTCTGTTCTCGATGGCAACTCGACGACGACGGAGTGGATGCGCTACGATGGCTGGAGCACCGAACACGGCTTCGTGTCGAGCGCGCTAATGACGGAAAGCACCCTCTTGTGCAGCCGGCTGGACAACGCGCTCGTGTTCGTGACGGCGCAACCGTTGGAGGAGGTGCGGGATGTGGTGCGCCTGCTGGAGGCCTCCAGAGCCCAGCAACGCCCGCTCATCTTGGTCGGCCCTGCGTTTGCCGAGCCAGTGCTGCAGACCGTCATTCTCAACCACGAGCGTGGCGTCGCGCAGTGCGGTGTCGTGTGTGTACCAGAGCTGCGGGAGGAGGAGCTGCACGATGTGGCCGCTTCGTGTCAGTGCAGCGTGGAGAAGGTGAGCTCAATCGGCTACGTCGACGACGTGCAGTGCCTGCTCGGCTCGGCGAAGCACATGGAGCAGACAATGGACAGCACCGTCATCAGCGGCACCGGCGACACCTCGGCGCGGGTGCGACTGCTGCAGAGTCGGCTGGAGCGTCTCATGACGGAGGAGAGCCGCGAGGCGATGCGGGAGCGCATCTCCAAGCTCAACCACACCTACGCCGTCATCCGTGTCGGCGGTCGTTCCGCGATCGAGGTGAGCGAGTCGAAGGACCGCGTCGTGGATGCGTTGAATGCGGCTCGCAACGCGCTCGGCGAGGGCATCGTGGCCGGCGGCGGCGCGGCGCTGCTGCACGCGTCGAAGAAATTGGATGAGCTGCTCGCGAACGACGAGGAAATGGAACAGGATCGACGCACCGGCGTCCAAATCGTGCGCAACGCCATTCGCCTGCCGCTCAAGAAGATTAGCGAGAACGCCGGCGAGGAGGGCGCCGTGACGGTGGAGAACGTCGCCGAGTACCAGGAGACCGCGATGGGCTACGACGCACAGAACGGCACCTATGTGGACATGTTTGAGGCGGGTATTGTCGACCCGCTGCGCGTGGTGCGGTCCTGTGTGGTGGACGCGTCCTCCGTCGCCGGGCTGATGATCACCACGGAGGCGAGCGTCTGCGACTACCGCCCCCCGGTAGAGAAGACCCGCAAGTGAGGAAGGAGGGGAGGGGCGGGTCGTCCCAACGAGCTGCTTGAGGCAGAAAAAGAGGGAGAAAGGGTGTCTTGGACACGACACGCGATGATGCGTAGGGCGTCGGGAGAAACTCTCTCCCGACTGTTGTTGTTATGGAAGGAGCGAGGATCCACACAGATTTACCGTACTTCGTTTTTCTTTACAGCTGATAGTCACCATTTACACAGCATTCTTAAGTCACAAAGATGCACAAAAGGAGACAACCTTCTATGGAGGGTTACGGTCACACAGAAGCGCACGTAGTCACGCATCGCACACCCAAACAGTCTGGAGATGCTATACCGTCAATTGCATCAAGTAGAAGAGTGTCGAATATTCTTGTTGATGACGTCTACAGTCACAAAAACCATTTGTTTTCTAAAAACGGATTCACGACACCGGGTGCCGTCCACCAATAAACGACCTGGCTCCTTCACATCCCTCCGTCTATTTTCCACGTTTGCTGGTTTATCTCACTCCGTCGTCTTCTGCAACAAAACACTTCCTTTATGTTTCTACCTCCTTTTTCTCTCTCAACATGCACACCCGAGAAAAGAGCGACGTTTTGGCTGCGTCGTTGATCGACTTGCCGCACTCTTAAGGGCAGTGCTTATTCCTCTTGATAGCAGGCAAGCAAAGGGTGCGAAGAATGCTGCGTTGGTCTCGCTTGCTGCGGGAGATGGCGCCGGAGCTGCAGCTAGAGTACATCCCGGTCATCTTCACCCGCACCATCCTCGGCCCTCAGGGCGGCTTCGCCGGAGAGGAGCGTCTGGTCAAACGTGAGGTGGCGCAGAAGTACTTGACCGAGGGTAACGCCGTCACCCCCAATGCGGAGTTTCGCCAAGGTGTGTGGTGCTACAACCCTGACTCGGAACAGTACGACCGCTTTGTGGAGCGCAACGCGGAGTTCCTCGACTTTGCCGCGCGTAAGCGGCAGTGGTTGGACGTGTACTGGCGCGTGAACACCGGCTACCTGCTCTTTGGGCGCCAGAGCTGGGGCCAGGGCTGGCTGCTGAATTGTCCGTTGCGCAAAAAGGACGTGACGCAGAAGCTGTGGGAGCAGTATAAGGTGCGCGTGGATCCACGGCTGATTGAGTTTAGAGAGAAAGACAGGCGCACAGGAATTCAGGACTTAGGCCACAACTGGTGCTGGCTGTACCTCCCCGGTGCCGAGGAGCTCGCCATTGACCGCGAAGTGTACGACAACAAGCGTGTCAAGGTGCGTATGCACATCCGAAAGATGACTAGCTATAGTGCACTGTATTAGTGACTCAAGCGAGGGACGCTGTCGCACGTCCACAACGGATGTGTCTGTGCGTGAGCTATGAGCGGGTGCCTTGCGTTTCCGTGAAGCGACTGCTTGAAGGATGTGAAGAGGGGCAAGCGCGGCGCTTTAAAAGTCCCCCTTTGTGTCTCGCGCTTCCTTTTTGCTTGCTGTTGTTGTTGAGATGGGCGGCGCTGTTGACATTTTTAGAGGTCCGGGAAAACAAACCTGCAAAGGAAACACACACAAAGGGGCGTTCAGGAGGAATAAATTCTCTCGAGTGCGTGTGGTTCGAAGAAGGAAAGCGAGAAATGGCGAAGAAGGAGAGCAAAACTTGACGTAATGGAGGTCGTCCTTTGCGTACAGTCTTTTTCGCTTTGCACTGCGAGACCTGTGTGTCACTTCGAGTGCAATTTGTATTCTCCTTGGAAGCTGCGCTGCTGTGAAACGATGCTGAGACGATCTTCTGTTGTAGTCGGCTCGCACACTCTCTCGGGTTCAACGAGAAAAAAGAAGACGATAGAGCCTCGGATGCTTTCTTGTGTTGAAGGTGCGAAAAAGAAAAAAGGCAACGCCATCTGGAGTTTTTGGTGGCAATCTGCGGTGACTCTTTCTGTTATTTTTTCTTTTATATCTTTCTCTTCTCTTCAAGTGTTCTTTTGGTCAGATTTACCAAATTGGTCCTCTTTTTTTTTTTTTCTTCCTCGTTATCGATCACGTACAGGTTCAACACACATCGCCATTTTTTTTTTTACTCTAACGCACATCTTGCGTGAAGCAGCACGCATCGACGCAGAAAGGCTAGCCGACCTGCCCAGATCGGACTTTGCTTTTTTGTCTTTGCATGGCTGCTTTTCTGTTTCTTTTCGTGCTTCTTTATACAACGTACCGACGCTCGACAAGCTCGTCGTTTGTCTTTCGCATTTCTTAGCGCGCCAAGTGCGAAGTAGCATTCCAGACCTGCTGCCCTTAGCGTTCTCATTGGTGTTTCTGTTCTTCGTTTAAACTCACACATACACAAAATGCTTAGACGGCGGCAGTTGGCGGCACCAGGCGCGTCTGCCGCTTTGCCCGCGCTGTGCAGTGTGCTTTGTGCAAGCCAGCAGGGCCGCCTCTTTCACACGTCCCAGGCAGCGCTCAACAGCGGCACCTCTAATAGCAACCCTCAACAGCGCTCCGCTGCCGACGAGGACAAGGAGGAGCTCGAGCGGGAACGCAACCTGCGCGAGAAGTTCGCCGAGAAGATTCAGCAAGGCATCCCTCAACAACCGCAGCAGGGTGGCGCGGGCGGTGGCCTCGGGTCCGGCTTCGGCCCCGGTCCTGCGTGGGGCATGGGTGGTGGGGCTGGGCCGATGCCTGGACAGGCGCCGTTCCCTCCGGACGCCGCGCGGAAGATGTTCAACTTCATGTTCTACCTCACAGCTTTCATGTTCCTCTTGGTGATGGCCCCCCTTGCGAACCAAAACTCGCCCATGTACACGATGCAAGGGCTGCCGTGGTGGGAGCTGCCCCTCGGCTCCGCCGCGTACTTCTTCCTCCTTCGCGCGCTGTACTCGCGCCGTGAGCAAAATCGTATCAAGACGGAGTTCGAGAACGCCGCCCGCGCAAACCCGTCCCTGACGTTTGATCAGTTCATGTCTCACCACTACCCGACCATGTTCCAGGGCTACCGCACCTCGCAGCCGGAGATGGTGGCGGCGGTGTCGGCGTGCTTGTCAGCCGCGAAGGATCTGAAGTTTGCGCAGACGATGGTGCGCGCAGCGGGACGTGCGAAGGACCCTCGCGCGTCGACCGACGACATCATGGACGCGTTGCGCCGCGACTTCCCTCAGCTGTTCTGACCGCAGGATTGAGTTATGGTCCCTCTCCCCCAGTGTTGTGCTGACCCGTGCGTGGGTATGTGTGTGTGTGAGGGTGTTGTGGTGCCTGCCTGTTTGTTTTTTGATCTTCTTTTTGTTCTTCTGATATCAAAGAGGCGTTTTTTTTTCTCTCTCTCTCTTCCTCCAGTCGTTGCATTTCCACTTCCGATTTCCAATTTTTGTGTGTGTGTCAGCGCAGCCGATGCGTACGTACCCCTGCGAAGCAAGTCCTCACACCCGTTCTTCCGTTTTCCATGAGCGGATGCGCTCAGGACCTTGCCCGACAGCAAACGCACGAAGCTATGCGGTTTTCCTCTCTCCGCACGACTGAGGGGCGGATGCCCAGCGGCAGCATGAGCCGCCGAGGTTGTCTTGCTCAAGGAGCGGCCTGCTAGCGTGAAGGGGGAGATGACTTCCGTTTCAAGCCAACCGTGTCATTGTCCGAGTGGTTCAAAGAACTGGGTCATTGCGGGTCTCCACCTCCATGTCGCAGCGCAATTGCTGTATGCGTGTCTCGATGAGCGCCGTCTCGTTTTCCATGGCATCCATTCCGATAATCTTCATGCGCTCTTTTTTCTTTTGTCATGAGGGTTGCCGTTTCAAAACTAATTGCAGAGGCTGCGCATCGCACGGAAGTATCTGTGTGCGAGCTTTACCTGTCTCGCTTCCTTCTGCCTTTCCTGGCCTGTACCCGAATTATTGTTTTAGAGCCTTCGCTCGAAGCTCTCGTTTTCGTTTGGCTCCTCCCTCCGCCTTCCAAAAAAAAAAGTGCTTCTTGCTCTTCTCCGGCTTTCGTTAAGCTGCAAAGCGAAATGCGGCGCCGCGCAGGTTTCCCCACCTCACCCGTATGCGTCAACCCGGACGCAAACTTCAGCGCCGAGTGGCGGGAGATGAATGCGGCCGACTCCGGTTGGACCCGCACACCGCAGCCGCGAACGCTCGAGGAGTTTCGTGCACAGTTGTGCCAAACCGGCAAGGAGCGCGCCAAGCGCAGTGTGGAGTCGGAAGAGGAAGAGGACGCTTTCTACCGCACGACGGACGGCCAACCGCGCCAGTACGAAGGACGCCGCTTCTTTGAGTGGTGGTGCCCCGCCAACCCGACCCGAGCCCGGCTTCGAGTGGAGCGCCTGTACTGGATCGCGTGGAAGCAGTTTCTGTACGGGTTCTTCATGTCCGGAATCGGGACCGTGCTGATGCTGATTGGGATCGGGTGCACGGCAAACGTATGCGAGGAAAAGTCACGCGGTGTTGGCGTCATCATCGGTGCACTGCTGCTGTGCATTCCGGGCTACTATTGCTTGTTTGTGCTGTACATGTACGCAACATGCCAGGGGCGGTACACCTACCTGCAGCTGCCAGAGGGGTAGAAAAGACGCGCTGGTTTTTTGTTTGTTTTTCTTGCTGAGAGGAGAACAGCGCCGTCTAAGACGATGGTGTGTGTGGCAATGGGGATGTCTTGAAGTTTCCACTCGGTGTGACGCCTTTATCTTTTTCGTTGACTCAGCGCCTTTTCTTCCCTCATCTTTCCCTCGAACGTGCTCCCTACTGGCATTGGCAAGAGGACGCTGCCGTTGTGGCTATTCAACTACTGTTATTATTAGCTTTTTTTTCTCCTGCTAACACTTACTCTACTGGAGGTAAAGATAATAGTAGTAGTAGCATTAGGGAGTGGAGTGCATCGCACGAGGGATGCACACCGTGAATGCTATGAACTCATCGTGCCCAACAGGAACAACAAGGCTGCTTCGAGGGAGTGGCATGCATTATTGAATTACGATTGTGACAGCGGCTACATAAGGCGGTACATCTTTTTCATCTGCCGTGTGTATTACTCTCACGTGCTTGTTTTTTCTGACTCGCTTCTCTCTTCTCACGGTTTCCTCTCTTTTCCTTTCCTTTCCTTTCCACTTATTATTATTATTATTATTATTATTATTGCTGTTGTACATCCCGTTATTGTTACAGCCTCAAAATCCGCCTGCTTCAAGAAAAACACGAACCTGCAGAATTGCGCACCTTCGTGACGTTTTCTTGCTTTCGTTTTACGCGCTCGGTGCGGTCAGGTGAGGTGATGCAACAACGAAGACGGGCCTCGACCACAGAAAACCAACAGTACGTGACGGCACACGCAGAAGACGAGATGTTTTATACGCCGATGACGTTATTGGAATTTGCAGAATTTATGGACGTGTGCTTCCCCGTTGCTCGCTCCCTCACCGTTTCGGACAGCATCGACATGCTCAGTGTGTTCACCAGCGTTCCGCCAGACAAGGTGCTGGCTGCTCTTCAGTTGGAGCCCTCCTTCGCCTTTGCAAATTGTGTGCGCGGCAATGCCCCGTTTGTTTCCACGACGGTGGTGTGTTTTTGGCTGCATCGGCTGATGCGCCCAACGAACGCCGCAGAGTCGTGGTGGGATGCTTCTGACGTCTATCTGCATGACGCGTCGACGGAGGGAGGTGCGTGTAATGGAAGGGCCACCGACAGACCGGCTCCCCACACAGAAGACGTGAGGAGCGTTCCTTTGCCAGCGCGCTCGGGCCAACCACCACGCCCCGCCTCATCCTCGCAGCGAACAGGGGAGCGCAGCGGCAGAGAAGCGTCGATGCACCCAACGCGCAACAGTGGGAGCTGGCGCGATGTCAGCGATGGACGGCCGTCTGCCGCCACGGCGGAGATGGAAAGGCCGACGATGACGATCAACATGACCACGACGCATACCACGCCCGTCACCTCGCGCCAGCCATCGCAGGGGACGGCGCCGTCGATGGAGCAGGTGGTTGCGGTGGCCCTTTCAGAAATGGACGCGTTGGCCGACAAAAACACCCAGCTGGACTGTCGCCCCGTTCATGACGCGCAGGGGACGGCGACGCGTGACACTCTCTGTCCCTGCGAGAACGTTGCGATGCACAAAGATCGACCGCGAAGCCCCCTGCCGGTGCAGCCACCGGCGCAGCAGCAACTTCCGCCGTTGCCGCCCTCGACGACATTGGCGGAGCTGGAAAGTTACGTACACCGCGGCAGGAAAATGAAGGTGTGCCGGCAGTTCATGCACACGGGCACCTGCTCGTACGGGGCACGGTGCCTCTTTCATCACCATCGTCCGTGGAACGTTTTGCATTCAAAGTGAGGGGGTCATGTGTATGAGGTGCGACAGCAAAACCAGAGGCGTGTGACGAGGCCCTATCCTTTTGATACTCGTACAACCAGAAGCTTCTCATATATATATTTCCCTCTTCGTTTGTACAGTAATGACTTTTAGTTTGTTTATCGCTTTCGCTTTCTAAACTTACGGCTGCTGGTGCTTGTTGCATCGCGGCCCACAATCCTTTCTATTTAGCTGTTTCTTTTCTCTGGAGGCACTTTAAGTGAAGGACTTCTTCCGCAACTTCCTAACGAGTGGAAGGAGGAGAGGCTCCCGTTTGTTTTGTTCTCACTTCTGCCTTCTGTTCTATTGCATATTTTACTTGTGCTGCAGAGTATATTTATCTTCATTCTCCCCCTCTCCCTCTCTCTCGCTTCTTAACGACCGACGCATTTTCGATGAAATGCGAGGTCCACTTTGAAAAAGAGAAAAAAAACATGCAGGTATAACAACACGAAGTCCGCAAACAGACGAAGGCTGCGATGCGTTGTTTCGGAAGACTTTTCTCTCTTCGTAAACTAGGTTGGCGATCTGGTTGCCGTTTGCACGGCACTCCAAGACTCGCGCCTCTTTCGCTCTCGCTCAAGCCTCCGTTGAGACGCGGTGGAGGGCATGCTGCCGGATGCCGTGGATCAATGATCTCTTTTTCTTACTTTTTGCTCCCTTTGTTATTCCCCACCTCTACTTTCTGCATCGGCGAAGAAGCGCTCCGAGAAGGCAGCTCGGTTGGAGATTTCTAACCACGGCCCCGGCATCGACTTTTCATTGCTGCTTTCTGTCTTATACGCCTGCACCGTCTCGTCGCGGGTGACGCGAGCGCCTTCTTTTCGTATCGCTTTTCAGCCCTTCACGTCGTCGGTATTTCTTCCATTTTTAATCGAGACTTCACGCAGCAACGAACAGCGACAGCAACAACACGCCACCTCACTCTTTCTAGAATCCAGTAATGCGTCCCTCTCTCACGTTTCGGTTTGCGGAGTACGTTCCCAAGTGGGCGCCGACGCAGGTGAGCGCTACCCCTGCCAGCGCCTACGCCGTCACACGCGCCTTTCGTGCCACCGAGGCGGCGGCGATGGCGGCAGACGCGGAGCGGGCCCAAAAAGGCTTTTTCTACCTCCCTCGTCTCGACTACGACGTCGGTCAAGGTGTTGCGCCGCTGATGTCCAAGAAGCAGTTCGACGTGCAGTACCACGTTTTCCACAAGGCGACGGTGGAGCGACTGAACGCACACACGTTAGGCTCGGAGCTGGAGGGACACAATCTGAACGTGGTCATTCGCAACTCATCTTTCGATGCGTCCCGTGCGGTGATTCACGCGGCCGCCTCGGAGCACTTCAACTACTGCTTTTGGTACCGCTCGCTGCGCCCGTGGGGCACCGCCGTCCCGACGCGATTGAAGGAGGAGTTGCAGCTGCAGTACAGCGAGAACGGTACGCTGGACGCGGTGGAGGAGGTGCGGCGACGCTTTCTAGTGGCCGCACTGTCGCAGCAGCCGTGCTGTGGGTGGGTGTACTTGGTGTGGACAGGCAAAAAGTTCGACATCCTGGCCTTCGATCACGGCATGTGCCCCATCGGCAGCGATTTGATCCCGCTGCTTGGGCTGAGCGTTCGCGAATCCGCGATGTGCTTCGACTACGGTTCCCCCGACACCGAGGAGGTGATAGAGCGCTACGTCAACAACTTCTTCAAGACGTGCAATTGGGGATTAGCGGAACAGTACTTTTTGCAAGCGCGTAGGGCTTAAAGAGGGGGAGAACACGGCAGCGGTAGGGCTGGCAGCGAGAAGCGTTTTCTCTTCCCTGCTTGCGCCGCAATGCTATTTTGCGGCATTTGGGTGACATCGCTGGTGTTGGACGTCCTTCCCAGCCTTTTTCAACACTGCGAAATGAACGCAGCTCTCTCCTTCGTTTACGGTAAAGATGGTAGTCTTTTTTTACTGTTGTTGGCGAGGATGCCTTTCACAAAGAAACGAACCCTTTTAAAGGAAAGAAGCCTGCACCACTACCAATTTGAGTTGCACTAAACAGGGCTCACTGATGGTGCTCACAAGAGCGAGAGAGAGCGAGAGAACGAGAGGACACAGCCACCGGTGGAGTAGTCAGCTGCGACAGCTGCCGAGTGCTGCCACATTCTCACCTTCTCCCGCTCCGTTGATGCCATGTGCTTTCTTTCTCAACTTACCCGTGGGGTGGCTCGGCCGTCCATGCGACTCCACACTGCGTGGCGGCGTCTTCACACTTCGCTTTTCTCGCATCTTGCCGGACTCTCCCTCCTCTTTGGATCTCAAACCGTTTTTTTTTAAATGACTGTTTGTGTGTCACGTCCCAATGAAACAGAACGCACCGCTTTGAATCCCATTTTATCTTTCCTTTACTTTTCGCTGTTTTTCTTTCTAGGCACTCGCATTTTTCTTTTGCGTTCCTTCTTTTCGCTTTCTTTCTCTCCCGTTTCGCTTGCCAAACCACCCCCTACCAGAAGAAACGGTCAACAATGCTGCCGCCCAAGGACGTCTACTCTGCGGTGATCCACAACCACACCGGCAAGGAGGTGACGGTGCACCTGACGTACACCAACAGCATGGTCAACAAGTTGATTCGGCACACCCTGGTGATCCCCCCGGGTGGGCAGGCTGCCGCGGAGCAGCGCACCTTCAAAGAAGGCGCGACGGAGTTCACAACTGTCATCACGTCGGTGCAGGTGGAGGGAGTGACGACGAAGCTGATGGCTCCCTTTCCGCACGTCGACAGCCCTACCAAGGACTACCCGATCAACATTGTCGAGAAGAACGGCGCGATCGAGGTGCAGGGCAAGAGTGTGTAGATGTTGCTGTTGTGAAGAGCGGGTAGGGGAAGCGAAAGACATGCGTTAAAACATAGCTTTCCGTTGTATTGTGCCGGTCAACTGGCCCCCTGTGCTGTTAACAGAACACACACACACTCACACATTCCGCTGTCGTATATCGAGAGCTTTGGAGGTGGGAAGTGGCATCTACTCCGACTGCGCACTTAGCGTAGTGTCCTGGCAGTGCTCGAGTGCCGCACTGTATGATCCACTCACATGCTTCTGGAACAAACCAAACCCCCCCCCCCCCAAAAAAAAAACGGGAGAAGATAAGTCGACGAAGTGTTCTTTGGAGTGTACAACGGCAATGACTTGAAAGGTTTAATAGCAGTTCATTGCTTCTGCCATGGCGTTTGATGCGTGAAGGGAGGAGCGAAACGTAGAAGCACCGCTGCAAAACCTCCTTTTACGGATAATTTAGCAGATCCAGGTGACTTGGAGGACTGACTTTTTTAGTGGTGATGTATTTTTTTTTTCGTTTATTATTATTGCCCTTTGATAAGGAATCTCTTTCTTTTTGTCCTCCTTCTTGTTCTCGTTCTTCTCTAAATTTCACGTTGCCCTTCTCACCGCAGGTGCCTACGACTTCCTCGTTTCACAGCGCAAACTATTCTCACTCGCTAACTTATCATTGCACTTTTCGATTCTTCTTTTTTTGATTCGCCTTTTTAGCCGGCAAACCTCGCACATTTTTTATCTCCACAACCCAACCAAACACAACGGAAAATGCTTCCCCCGCACACGGTCTACTCGCTGGTGATTCGCAACCACAGCGACAAGAAGGTGAAGGTTGCCGTCACCTACGCGGACGTCGAGGACAACGTGCACCACGCTGAGATCAGCGTGCCCGCAAACGGCTCTGCCACGGCGGAGGAGCGGACCTACAAGCACGGCACCGCAGTCTTCGCGATGGAGGTGACGAAGGTGGCGATTGTGGATGCCACGGTGCAGGGGCCCCCGTCCAGCCTGAGCGCGCCGTTCCCGTCTGTGTACTCCCCCACCAAAAAATACCCCATTGAGATCGTGAAGAAGAACGGCGCACCGGCGCTGGTGACCAAGGAATCGGCTTAAAAGACCAGAAGGAATGAAAGGGGGGCTGTTAAACGCAGTCTTGACTTGCACATACAAGTTTCGACGTCAAAAATTAATCTATGTGCCAATCTTGCTTTTAAGAAAGAAAAGAATCAGGTCAACCTGTGCTGTCGACTGACAAGAAAGACCCCTGTTTAAACTGTATATTCTTTTGGAGTTTTCTTTTTTCTTTTTTTACTACTATTATACCTTCTGCCTTGTTCATGAATGAGCTTCTTCCCTTTTCCTTTTCTTCTCTCACCACAGCTTTACGTGCGCGTATTCCTCCAGCTGTAACTTGCTTGGTGATGTTTAATGTTGCTGTTCGCCAACAGATGTTGATCAATTAAAAAAAAAAAACAAAGAGGGAAAGACGCAGCTTCTGGCACGCGCAAGATGAGTGTCCGAGATGCCCCCCAGGGAAGACAGCGCATCATCAAGTTATTTATAAGATGTACGTTCGTTCGTTATCTTATTTTTCCCCCCTGTTTTCTTTTGCTTTTGTTTTGTTTTTGTTTTACCTCCAGGGACGCTGAGTTGCGAAGAGCTACCACTTCTTGTGAGAGCGGCAGCGTGAATTGGTTATATAGCAGCTATAAAAAACACACGTTGATCTCCTGTAGAAAGTTCCAAAATTCTTTTTCTTCTCGATTCTTTTTTTTCCTATCACTGTATTTTGAGGTTTACTCGTCTGGGAAAACGCAGACAAAAAACACATCCACATGTTCACTTGGAAGACGGCGAAAAAGGGAACGCCGTCCTTGGAGATGCGTTGTCGTTGCGTGAGGCCGTAGCACGTAATGGTGGCTCTATCATGGCGCTCCTGTAACGTCTGTTGAAATGCTGCCTTTTCCATCGCACCGCAGGACTGCCCAAAAGAAAGACCTTTTTTTTCTCTTTTTGGTGAGCGTCCAATCCCCCCCCACAAAATGAAATGCTGAGCTGTGGTCGATGGTGACTCTCGACCAGCTTTCTTTCCTCGAGTTAACTCCTGCTTTTAAATCCTTTTCTCTCTCATATTACTGCTTGACGTACTGACGCCCCATGCTTATTCTCATCCCCATGTGCATTGACTCGCATTTTTCGGTTTCGGCTAGAAAACTAACGTTTTCACCACAAACAACAACACACAAACCCCACATCTCATCTGTTCGAAAATGTCCTCCCGCCAAGGTGGAAAGCAGAAGCCGCTGAAGCAGCCCAAGAAGGAGAAGGTTGATGCGGATGAAGACGATGCGGCCTTCAAGCAGAAGCAGCGTGAACAGCAGAAGGCGGAGAAGGAGGCCATTGCAAAGATGAAGAAGAAGTAATCAAGAAACTCCAATGCAGGCTTAGAAAGTACGAAGGGTCAAGGGGGGGGGGGTCTGCAGGTGCGTGTGGGTGAGCTGCAGGAGTTGCTGAACAGCAGCACCAGCAGCAGCAACAACGAAAGAAGACTGCTCATTTGAGCTTTTGTGGAGCTGCATCCTTTCTCATGACA